GCCTTAGAGCAGCCAATGTATGTGACTTAAAAATCAGCTGTTATCCTTTTCTTCTTCAGAAAGAAGATAACACATTTCTAGTTTTTTTTCCTTTCTCCACAGGCATTTGGTCCACGTATTTCTTGAGTTGTATTGAGGGGGGGTGGAAATCTGTCTGGTTGCTTGCAAAACATCATTTTACATAGACTGTCAAAGTTGAGGGATCTATTTATTTATTTTTCCCTAAGCTTCGGAAAGAACTCTCCCTTCACCACGGTGCCAAATCAGTGTTACAGGCAGCTTTGTGAGGCTGCGGTTTCAGAAGACCCTGTGAGAGAAATAAAAACAGGCTAGAAAAATTGAATTGGAAGCCTTTCCTGTAGCCGAGGTGGACAAAAACCTGGCCAGAAGTTGGTAGATAGGGGGGTCACATCAGACAATCTCTCTGGTTTGGAGAAGAAATATTCCCAAACGTGTGTTAGAATGGAGGTTCATTTATCTCTGATTTTGTGGGAGGGAAAAATAGTGAATTCTGGTCCCACCATATGGCACCTCCTTCTAAAATTCCGCCAAGGTAATTGCAGGGATTAATCCAGGCAAACCCCAGGAGTTGACATTGACTTGAAGGAAATCAATCAATCAATAAGCAAGTATGCTAGGAGTGGTGCAGTGGCCTAGAGGTGGAGTTCTTGCCTCACAATCAGGAGGCTATGAGTTCGATCCTAGGTAGAGGCAGGTATTTCTCTTTCTGGGCACAATGAGAAAATATCTGCTGAACAAAGCTCTGTATTGGGGACAGGGAGGGCATCCGGCCAGTAAACACTCTACTAGCTCCATTCAGCTGCCCAGACTCAACCCCGCAAGGGATTATGGGGTCGTTAAAATGATGATGTAGATATACAAAATATATAAATATATAAGATAGGGAATAATTATAGATAGAGATAATAGTTATTGGTTGATGTGTATAAAGTGTAAGATGATTTATAAGATGACTATATGTGTCGATGTCAAAATGCTGTCACATATATGAATGTGATTTGTATTGGTGGAAAATATAATAAAAATATTTTTTTAAAAAAAGATGATGATGATGAATAAGCAATATGCTGTCGTTCCCAGAATAATTAAGCAAGAAACTGTTGTTTGTACCTGTTTGTTTCCCCACTTTAGGGTCTGTGGCAGTCATCACAAACCAGCATTTAAGAGCCACAGATCCTGATTCAGATGACCTGTCTATCAGATACATCATGAAGAAGGACCCAACCTATGGATCGTTGCACTTGCATAAAAGAGATTCTTTGACGCAGATCTCTGCTGGGGGACCAGCCAAAAGCTTCACCCAGGCAGATATAAACAAAGGTGAAGTGCTCTCTCTGGTTCTTTATTGGTAAAATTCTGGTGTTTATCTCTGAGTTGAGTTGCATAGCACAGCAGGTTTTTCCTCAGACTTTTGGATTTATACTTCGGCACAAATACGACATGATCTATTTCAAAAAGGATTAGATTCTTGTAATACTACAAATGAAGCAAAAAAAAAGAGCAACAAAGATGATTAGGGCAGGAGTCCCAACCCCCAGTCTGTGGACTAGCATCGGGCCAGAAATTGGGCCATGGAAACAAGCGAAGGCCCATCCACGGGATGCAGGCAGAACGCGAAACCACGGCCCCTGAGATCCACGGAAAAATCTCTATCCACAGAACTGCTCCCTGATGCCCCAAAGGTTGGGGGCCACTGGATTAGAGGGACTGAAGGCTAAAACATATGAATAATAGTTGCAAGAATTGGGTATGTCTATTTTAATGAAAAGAAGAAGGACTACAGATGACATGATAGCATTGTTTCAGTATTTGAGGGGCTGCCACGAAGAGGAGGGGATCCGCTAAGGCACCTGAAAGTAGGACAAGAAGCCACGGATGGAAACTAATCCAGGAGAGAAGCAACCTGGAACTAAGGAGAAATTTCCAAATAGAATAATTAACCTTTAAATACATTTGCATTTCATATTTCAATTCATTAATTCAGTATCAATATCATTTCATCCACACATAAAGATGAGTGAAATGGATAATGATATAAGATGACATTATATAAGATTAATAGAAATGAAAGTATGACTATGTACAAGTATTATAATCCGGAATCATGTTGCTCACGTGAAGAGATGTGTACAATTTTTAAAAAATAAAAAAAAACTTTTATTAAAAAAAAAGAATAATTAACCATATAACAGATCATCAGAGTTGGAAGGGATCTTGTAGGTCATCTAGTCCAACCCCCTGCCCAAGCAGGAGACCCTACACAATTTCTGACAGATGGGAGTCCAATCTCTTCTTGAAAGCCTCCAGTGATGGCCCTCCCACAACTTCCGAGGGCAACTTCTGTTCCATTGGTTGGTTGTTCTCACTGTCAGAAAATTCCTCCTTATTTCCAGGTTAATTTTATTAACTATTTATTATTTCCAGCCCCTCAAATATTGGAAGACTGCTATCCTGTCTCCCCTGGTCCTTCTCTTCACTAGACTAGCCAGGCCCAGTTCCAGCAACCGTTCTTCGTATGTTTTAGCTTCCAGTCCCCTCATCATCCTGGTTGCTCTTCTCTGTACTTTTCCTAGAGTCTCAACATCTTTTTTATAATGTGGTGACCAAAACTGGATGCAGTACTCTAGGTGTGGTCTTACTAAGACTTCATTTATAGAGTGGTATTAGTACCCCACTTGATCTTGATTGTATCCTTCTGTTCATCAATGGAACGGCTTGTCTCCAGAAGTTGTGGGTGATCACAACACTGGAAGTTTTGAGAAGAGATTGGACATCCATTTGTCTGAAATGGTATAGGAGATTGAGGAGATCCTACTTATGCAGGGGGTTGGACTAGAAGACCTCTAAGGTCCCTCCCAACTCTGATATTCCGATTCTGACTACTAGAGGGAACCGTAAAATTGTGATTAAAAGTACAGGTAACCCTCCAGTTGCAAGCACAATTGGGACCAGAATTTCTGCCGCTAGGCAAGGCAGTTGTTAAGCGAATTGCGCCTAATGTTATGACCTTTGGTTGTTAAGTGAATCACTGGAGAAGTGAATCACTGTAGCTGTTAAATGAGTCATAGTCATTAAATGAATCCAGCTCCCACCCACCCCACATTGACTTGTTGGAAGGCAACTGGGAAGGACACAAAATGGTGGATCACATAACCCCGGGACTCTGCAACCGTCATAAGTATGAAATTATGATCACATGACCATAAGGACCCTGCAGTGGTCGTTAAGTCTGAGGACTGGTTGTAAGTCGTGTTTTCAGTCGTGTTACAACTTTGAATGGTCGTTTAACAAATGTTTGTAAGTTGAGGACTAACTACATTCCCCTTGCATGAAATTCTTTGCTGCCTCAGAAAGACTTTTTTGGCCTGTTTTGCAGAGAGGAGAAATTAATCAGGGAGAAGTTGTGTAAGATATTGTAAATAACTAGCGCGCAAATAAACTGTTGCCTTTTTAAAATCCAAGGTAGCGGATGAATACAGGAAATCCTCGTCTTACCACAGTTCATTTAGTGACCGTTCAAAGTTAACAACAGCAATGAAAAAAGGGAACTTACGACCGTTTTTCCCAGTTACCATCTTTGTAGCCTCCCCATGGTCACGTGATCAAAATTTGGACTCTTGGCAACTGGTTCATACTTATGACGGTTGCAGTGTTCTGAGGTCATATGATCCCCTTTTGTGACCTTCTGACAAGCAAAAGTCAATGCCAGATTCACTTAACAACCAGGTGACTAACTTATCGAATGGGATTCACATAACAACGGTGGCAAGAAAGGTCGTAAAAAGGGACGTGGGGGGAATTCCCTTAACCAATGTCTTACTTAACAACATAAATTTTGGGGTCAATTGTGGTCGTAACTCGAGGACTACCTGTACTTTGCAACCCCCTCCAAAAATTGCTTTTAGGAATATTTGTAATATAGCAAAAATCTTTTGGGGATTGTCCTTCCCACCTCTGGGCGTGGAGATAAGCAAGAATCTCAAAACTAGCAGAATTCATGCTTCACTCAGATGTCCTCTATTTGTTCCAGAGGTAATATTCAGCTGGTTCGGACCAGTTCTAGCATGCCGGTAGCGGAAATTTTGACTAGTTCGGAGAATCAGCAAATATCACCTCTGGTTGGCCCCGTCCACCCACCCCCGCCATTACCTCTCCTATATTCCCTTGGTTTTTAGCTCAGCTGATCTGCGCGGGAGAGCGGATTGCCGTGCCTCAGCTGAGCTAAAAAACAGTTCAGCTCACCAGTGTAGACAGAGGTCGATCTTTGAGTCCTCCGCGCGCCCATCCGCAAAGTGTGCATGCATAGAACCGCGCATAGAACCGGTAGAAACAGTTTGAAAACCCACCTCTGATTTGTTGATCGTTCCTATATTTATCAACTGAGGAAAGTCCATGGGACCAAGAAACAAATAGGCCAGTGTTGGCTAACCTTTTTCGGCTCCCTTTTTCGGAAAATTGTGTGCACTCGCGTGCCAGGACCCAGAAGGCAATGTGTGCTGCCTCCCCATCCTCTGCGCATGTGTATGCACCCCCTGCGCATGCCATGCATGTCTGCGCATGCGTCACAATCCCCGTGCATGTCATGCAACTGCACATGCGCGCTATATCCCCTGTGTGTGCTGTGCGTCTCCCCCACACACATGCGCAACAGATACCCGATAATCAGCTGTCAGGCAGCGGCGGTGCATGCGCAGGGGGTGTGTCTTTTGGGCGATCTCTCATGTGCCGGCAGAAGTGGCTCTGCATGCCACTTCCAGCAGACGTGCCATAGGTTCGCCAACACAGGAATAGGCTGAATTATCTGCAAAATAGGAGTGTGTTATATAGGCAAATAGATTTGTAGAAGGATAGCATCAAAAGAGGAGTTCAGCGGAGCACCATGGACCATCAAAGTCAGCATCTCTAGACGAGTTTATCATCTCACAGAGAACTTGGTTACATACTTCAGCAAAACACAATTAGCACAAGATAGCTTGCAGATGTTCTAAGTATTCTATTTTTTTCCTTCTGACTTCCCATTAACAGGACAAGTCGAATACAGCCATGAGAAAGGAGAACCGATTGGGGCATTTTTTTTTGTTTTTGATGTGACAGATGGAAAGGGAAACAGAATGGCAGACTTGGAATTTTCAATTAACGTAACAGGTAAGTCAACAATCTTGTCCTAGCTTTGTCTTTCTTTAGCAAGATAGACGAGGAACTCAATTAGCTAGAATCAAAGAAATTCTGGAAAAGCCTGCAGCTGTGAAGTAGGGTGGTTAGAATCAATTACAAAGACAATTTAGGGGCTGCAAATTATTAGCACTGGAATAATAGAAACTGTTGAGAACCTTAGCTGCTTAGTTTCTGCATCCTGAATGGTACAGATTGATATTCCAATGAACAATTCACGGTTCACCACAATATAATTTGTCATAGAATTCCACTGATTAGGTTTATATTTCAGGGGAATTTCCTCTGAGGTGTTAAATGAGGAGTCAACAGAAATCCATCCTTGTTCTGGCTTTCCTGAAAAATTGGTCACATTTGGAAACTACATTACTTGAAAATTAGAGCTTAATTAGCTTGTTAAATTAGTCACCTAAAATCGATTCTCTAGCAAAAAAAAAAGTGCCCCAATTATTTTTTGAAAAATGCTTCTAATACAAACATTGGTACACAATTACGTTTGCTCACTTTATTATTTTTCACTTGAAAAAGGTCTCTTTAAATTAGAATAGAATACTTTATTGGCCAAGTATGATTGGACACACAAGGAATTTGTCTTGGTGCATATGCTCTCAGTGTATATAAAAGAAAGATACATTCATCAAGAGTCAAGAATCATAAGGTACAACACTTAATAATAGTCACAGGGTACAATAAGCAATCAAATCATACTAGGAAACAGTCAACAAAAATCATTAGGATACAAGCGACAAGGTTACAGTCATACAGTCACAAGTGGGAGGAGATGTGTGAAAGGAAGGATGTCAGGATTAATAGTAATAGTAATAGTAGTTGCAAACTTTGTAAATAGTTGGACAGTGTTGAGGGAATTATTTGTTTAGCAGAGTGATGGCATTCGGGAAAAAACTTGTGTCTAGTTGTTCTGGTGTGCAGTGCTCTATAGCGTCAATTTGAGGGTAGGAGTTGAAACAGTTTATGTCCGGGATGTGAGGGGTCTGTAAATATTTTCACAGTCCTCTTTTTGACTCGTGCAGTATACAGGTCCTCAGTGGAAGGCAGGTTGGTAGCAATTGTTTTTTTCTGCAGTCCTAATTATTCTCTGAAGTCTGTGCCTGTCTTGTTGGGTTGCAGAACCAAACCAGACAGTTATAGAGGTGCAGATGACAGACTCAATAATTCCTCTGTAGAACTGTATCAGCAGCTCCTTGGGCAGTTTGAGCTTTCTGAGTTGGTGCAGAAAGAACATTCTATGTTGTGCTTTTTTGATGACGTTTTTGATGTTAGGTGTCCATTTTAGGTCTTGTGAAATTTGAAGAACTCCCCTGTCGATACTGTGTTATCTAGTATTGTAAGAGGTGGTAGTATGGGAGGGTGTCTCCTAAAGTCTACCACCATTTCTACGGTTTTGAGTGTGTTCAGTTCCAGATTGTTCCGGTTACACCACGAGGCAAGTTGTATAACCTCCTGTCTGTATGTGGATTCGTCATTGTCTTGAATGAGAACAATCACTGGTGTCAACAGTAAACCTCCCGTCTGTATGCGGATTTGTCGTTGTCTCAAATGAGACCAATTGTATCATCTGCAAACTTCAGTATTTTAATAGACAGATCGTTTGAGATGCAGTCATTGGTATATAGGGAGAAGAGAAGTGGAGAAAGCATACAGCCTTGGGCGTGTGTGTGTGTGTGCTAATTGTACAGGTATCAGATGTGATTCTGCCTAACTTCACCTGCTGCTTCCTGACTGTTAGGAAGCTTATGATCCACTTACAGGTGTGTTCAGGTACCACTAGCTGGTTTAGTTTAGTTGGAAGAATGTCTGGAGTGATGGTATTGAATGCTGAACTGAAGTCTACAATGAGGACCCTTCCAAAACTCTACCACCATATCTACGGTTTTGAGTGTGTTCAATTTCAGGTTGTCCCAGTTATGCTTGTAAAGTAAAACATTGAGTTTAGCTTTGTAGCAGCAGAGAAAAACTGATTTTTTCCCCCCTTCCTGTAGCCAGGACTGCCCTCTTATTTTCACTTCCCCCAGGGGATCGATTATCTCTGTCCATCACTGTCAACACTGGGATAACCTTGGATGAAAACTCAGTGAAAAAAATCACCACTTTGGAGCTGTCAGCCAAGAAGCAGGGTGGAGAATCCAGTGATCTCCTCTACAGGATTATTAAGCAGCCCCAGCTGGGACATTTGGAGCACACGGCATGGCCAGGTTTGCAAACATTTACTGGTTTTGGAGCGAAGTGAGAACAAAGACTCATATTTTACGGAATCCATGGGGGATTACCCAGGGAATCATGCTGATTTATTTAGCGATAGAAGTTAAGATGCCTGGAGTGTCTCCTTTTAAAGTCTTGATGGTATTAATAAATGAAGGGATAAATATGGCTGCCAGACACATTTGAAAGCCTCCCATAGGTGTTTGTGCTGCAAGGGAGAATTTCCAAAAGCAAGTTTTGGAGGAATTCTTTGAGCTGGAAGAAACACTTGGGATTTGAGAGCACCTGGTGGATTCTTCTGCTACTGTTTTCTAGGCAGAAGGATTAGTTCCTTCCAACAAGGAGACCTTCTCTCCCACAGCCTCCACTACATCCATACAAGCGAGGCTGAAGAACATACTGACACATTCACGTTCACCGTTTCAGATGGCCATGAGGAGGTCAGTCAACTTCCATTGGTTTCTCCCCCCCCCCCCCAAAATGGTTCTTTTGTTCGTGGAAAGGCCCACAAGAATAGCTTTGTTCAAGGTCCCATTCAGTGGTGGTATTCTACTGGTTTGGCCTGGTTCTTGTGAACTGGTAGTAAAAAATGTTACAGTTAGGCTGAACTGGTAGTAAAAAAAAAAAACAGCTACTGGTTTGGCCGAACTGGTATTTCTTTTTTTTTTTCTCCCAACGATCAGCTGTTCCAATGATCAGCTGTGCCAGGATCCCCCTCGCTGTCTTATTGGTTCGCCCAGGAGGCTTCTCTGAGGCCCTGAAGGCAAAAAAAAAATGGTGCGCAGGGGGGTGCTGCCAAAAAAAAAGCCATGCCCACCCAGTCACATGGCCACGCCCACCTGACTGCGCCCATATAACCAGTAGTAAAAATATTTGCATCCCACCCCTGATCTCATTCTTTCTTCCCATAGGTGACCCAGAATTTTGAAATCACCATTAATCCGGTTGATGATTCTTTGCCGGTGGTGCAGATGGCGGGCACGACGGTGCAGGAAGGTGTGAGGAAAACCATCACGGAATTTGATCTCAAAGCCACCGACACGGACACAGAGGTGAAGAAAGGAGTTCTCTTTGGGGTCTTCTTCCATGAGGGGCTTTAGAAGGCAATGGTAGTTTCCATCCAATGGGTATGTTCCTCTAGAACAGGGATGGGCAACGATGAGGCCTTTACTGCCTATGGACTTCAACTCCCAGAATTCCTGGGCCAACTGTGATGGTTCAGGAATTCTGAGAATTGAAGTCTACAGGTGGGAAAGCAACCATAATTGTCCACCCCTGCTCTAGCGGTAGACAATCATATGCAGCACCTGCGTGCATGCTCTATATAGGTAGCACTCGATTTATGACCACAATTTATGTCATTAAGCGAGACATTTAAGTGAGTTTTGTCCCATTTGACAATCTTTCTTGCCACACTTGTTAAGTGAATCATGGCAGTTGTTAGTAACAAGATTGTTAAGTGAATCTGGCTTGTCCATTGACTTTGTTTGTAAGAAACAAAAGGGGATCACACGACCCAGGGACGCCGTGACCATCATAATTATCAACCAATCGCCAAGCATCTGATTTTTTGATCATGTGACCATGGGGATGCTGCAGTGGTCACAAGTGTGACGAACAGTCATAATCGCTCTTTTCAGTGCCATCGTAATTTTGAACGGTCACTAAATGAACTGTTGAAAGTCAAAGACTACTTGTATTCTGCTTTTTGTTCGGGGACATGAGGCAAAGTTCATGGGGGAGGGGTTTGACCCTCCATGTCCATCTTTTTATTTTTGGCAACAAGAAAAATATGAGATACTTTGGACTGACCCAGTCACCTAAGGTGCTTCCATGGCAGAGGGTGGACTACAACCTGTGCTACCCCAATGCTTATCGCTACACTACGGCCATGTTATTTTCTGTAATTTTGTTACTGTGGTAAACCAGGGCAGGTGTCAAGTTCAATTTCATTGAGGGCTGCATCAGGACTATGGTTGACCTTGGGGGACTGGGTGGATGGGGCCAGATTGACGCCACTCCCAAAACTTCCGCGTTGCTTCCTGCTGTCTCCATGGCAACCGCTGCAGGAGCCACTGTATTTGTGGAGGGAGGGGAGGAAAAAACAAAGAATAACGCATGCACTTTCCCACCCAAGTGCCCTCAGAGTCCCCCTCGCTGATCCTTCTCCCTGCCCCCTTCACCTGAGTTTGGCTGCTCCTCTTTGCATTGGGTAGACTGGGCCGAAGCCACATGGGCTGGCCCCTTACATTTTCCAAGATGGCCCCGTGGGCTGGATCCGACCGCATTGTGGGCCGGATACATCCGGCGGGCCTTGTGTTCAACACCCCTGCCATAAACCATCTTGAAAATCAGGATAAACAGAAGGATACTGTATATATTCATGAATAAATAAACCCTTTCTCTCTACTGATCTAATATCTTGAGATATGCTACCTCTGGGCTAGGAGGTTCTGTTCAGTTGGCAGAACTAACAGACCTTTCAGAGATGGAACTTCCATGAAATTATCAAATTCTTATTCAGAGACATCTGAGGCAATAACTGCACATCCTCAAGTGCTGAGTTTCATAAATTCCTCGAGCATGAAAAACTGAAGGTTGGAGGCTACGGAGTACTGGATGCAATGAGATTTCGGTTTTGTCTGCAGAAATGATGCCATGACTTAGATCAGGGGTGTCAAACTCAATTTCATTGAGGGCCGCATCAGGGTTGTATTTGACCTTGGGGGGGTAACCAGCCCGACATCACTCATGTCGGGGGTGCCTGTAGTGGCCCGAGCAGTCTCCCAGTGAAAATGGGCTCCCGAGCTCGTTTTTTGGCTGTGATGGCCTCCTGGAACCCTCTGCCAGCCAAAATGGAGCTCACGTGCTCCATTTTGGCTGGCAGAGGCACCACGGGCTGGTCCTTCACTGTTTCCAGGGCGGTCCCGCGGGCCAGATCTAAGCATCCTGCGGCCAGATTCAGCCCCCAAGTTTGACACCCCTGATTTAGATTATATAGAGTTAAGGATTAGATCTCTTTGTTCTGATTCTTTGGTAGAATTATTCGTAGTCTTCCATTTATGACCACAGTTGAGCCAAAATTGTATGTTGCTAAGCGAGACAGTTAAGTGAGTTTTGCCCCATTTGACAACCTTTCTTGCCACAGTTGTTCAGTGAATCAATGCAGATGTTAAATTAGTAACATGGTTGCTAAGTGAATCTGGCTTCCCCGTTGACTTTGCTTGTCGGACAATCACAAAAAGTGATTACACAACCCCAAGGCACTGCAACACTCATAAATATATGCCAGCTGCCAAGCATCCAAATTTTGATCTCGTGACCATAGGGATGCTGCAACAGTCATCAGTTGTGAAAAATGGTAATAAGTCACTGTTTTGAATGCTGTTGTAACTTTGAACGATCACTAAACAAATGGTTGTGAGTTTGTTTTAACCATCCCTTGATGGTCACATTTACATATTACGTTGAGCTAAAGCCAGCCTATCCCATTAAAGTTTTAGCAGGATTGATAAGCTATTTGGCTCCCGCATCTTCCAGAATAACTTTCTCACGGAGTCTTCTTTAACAAGATTTATTGAGCCGGAAAGGATGCAGCTACAGTCATAGAATAAATTCAGCAACTGTATTATTTCTAAGACAGAATGAATTGATACCGTGAAATACCTTAGTGTAGAACAGGCGTGTTAAACTCGCGTCATCACAGAATCGTCACATGACGTATCGCGGCTTTTCTCCCCTTTACTAAAGCGGGCATGGGCATGGCCAGCGTGTGACGCATCCACCCCCCAGGCCACGAGTTTGACACCCCTGGTGTAGATGTCTCTAGAAGAATTGCTTTCCAGTGAAGTGGTCAGGTGGGCCTCTCTGCAGACTGTGGAGAACTTTAGAACTATCAGTTTACCAGACCTTCTCCTGAACCGTTATCCATCTGTCAACTAACCATCATAGTGTGATGTGACCTCTACTTTTCTCCTCACACGTTTTGTTCTGTATGCAGGCCAAGTCTGTCACCTTTAACATTGTGCAGCCCCCACGCCACGGCCAGCTGGAGCGCACCAGTGACAGCCATCATTACCAACAGGCCCATGCCTTCTCCATGGAGGACATCTTCCAGAACCGAATCAGTTACAGTCATGACGGAAGCAATTTTTTAGAAGACCGTTTCACTTTCACAGTGTCCGATGGAACCAATCCCCTTTTTGTGGTGGCAAAGGAAGGGAAAGAGGTCAGTGGGGAAGCCAAGGGTCTCTACGCCCAAGTTGTCTTTCATGTACCGAACCAGCTGAACACCACCTCTGCGTGCATGGTACAATTTCTCACAGCTCTGGCCGTTCAGATAGTAGGCCAAGAAATCCAACCTTGGTTTTCTCTATCTAGCCCTTGCGTGCAGAAAGCTAACAAGTCAAGTAAGCCTTTTGTTCCCTGACATGGAAGAGCAGTGGGAAAGAGACCAAGGAGAGGTCATAAGCAGCTCTTGTAGTAATTTACTGTGGCTTGGTCTTTTATATCTGTAAATATGTGATCAAATTTACTAATCTGGGTTCCCAGGAGAGAGGAGGTGCATTCTAGAGGAATAAGCGGATCTCAGTTCAGATTGTTTTGATGAGAGAAAGAGGGTAAAGACAGCCACTTCCTAATAGTTTTCTGAGAATATGCTTGTGCGTAAATGGCAGAGTGCTTTAGTCCGGCAAGATTCTCTTGTCCTGCTCTGCTTCCTCTACATCACATATATCTATTGCTCTCTTTTTTCCTCACATCTATCCATTCTTCTGTTCTGCTCTACATCACGTATATTATTCTCTTTTCTTCTCACATCTATCTATCCACCACCACCAGGAGTGGTGCGGTGGCCTAGAGGTGGACCTCTTGCCTCACAGGAGTCTGTGAGTTGGATCCTGGGTAGAGGCAGATATTTCTCTCTCTGGGCAAATGAGAATGTACCTGCTGAATATAGCTCCGCATTAGCAACAGGAAGGGCATCCGGCCAGTAAACACTCAGCTCCATTCAGTTGCCCAGATCTCTACTGCTCAAGGGATTATGGGGTCGTTAAAAGAAAGAAGATGATCTATCCATTCTGTCAGCCTTCAAGATCTTTTCTACTGCTTTGCATCTTTTGGCTGCCATAAGTAACGGGGGGAGGGGATATGTCTGGGAAGAGAGCTGGAGGTGTTACATTCTTGTGTTGTATAAATGAGGAGTGGGGGGAGGGAAGTATAAATTCCTGCTCTTAAGTTTCTATTCCTTGCTTAGCCTTCTTTTCTCTGCGCAACTGCAAATCTTTATCAAAATATGTCAAGGTCAACGGACAGAGGCCTCATCACCACCTGAAGATGCCCACATGACCATATCCAGAACTTTTAATTGGAAGAATCTTTTGAACTTTGGGGGGTGGGAACAATTCCATCCCTTTGTATATGTGATCTGCGCGCCTAATTTCTTAGATTCAGAATTCTACCTGAAGCTACCACTTCAAATTTCAGTAAAAGATTTCTTTCCTCTAATCTATGGAGTCTAAGTATTTCTTTCTTGGATTTTGAATGGAGCACAGACTGACACATTCTTTTGCTCTGCCCTGTTCTGTTCTAGTCTACTCGACCTTACCCTACCGTATTTTCCCACCTCTGCTACTTTTATAAACAGCTCAAGATGACAAATATATCTAATGCTCCTTCCTCCTCCTATTTTTCCCCATAACAGTCCTGTGAGGTGGGTTGGACTCCAGGCGGCTTTCATGCCTGAGGCAGGATTAGAACACACCATCTCCTGGTTTCCAGCCTGATGTCTTAACTACTGGATCCCGTGATGGTGAACCTATGGCATATATGCCAGAGATGGCATGCAAAGCCCTCTCTGTGAGCATGCGCGCCGTCGCCAGCTGCTCTTCTGGTTTCTGGCGTGCTGGCCAGCTGGTCTTTGGTTTCCAGCGCTCCGGCGTGCGCGAAGACCAGCTGGCCAGCACGTGCATGTACACCGGCCAGCTGGTCTTCGGTTTCCTGCATACAGGCGCGCATGCACGCGCATGCATTCCGGTTTGGGCCCTTGGTGGTGAAAAGATTTGCCATCACTGCCACTAGACCAAACTGACATTGTAGGAAACCTAGAAATAAGGAGAAACTTTCTGACGGGGGAACAATCAAACCATGGAGCAGAAGTTGCCTTTGGAAGTTGTGGGAGCTTCATCCCTGGAGGCTTTCAAGAAGAGATTGGACTCCCATCTGTCAGAAATGGTGAAGGGTCTCCTGCTTGGGCAGGGGGTTGGACTAGATAACCTACAAGGTCCCTTCCGACTTACAATAGATAATCAAAGTATTATCTGTTATCTGAAACCTGGTCATTCATATTTTGAGTTGTTACTATCAGGGAGACATTATAGGTGTCTTAAAATGAGGACTAATAGACTGAGAAACAGTTTCTTTTCTAAGGCAAAAATTGCCTTGAATCAAGCAGTACATTTGTGATTTAGTCCTATGTATAAAATGGCATTTTTAAACTATCTAACTTAATATATGTTTTAAATAGGTTTTAGACTAGGTTTTTAATTATTATTATTTTCATTATTTTAATTTTTAAATACTCTGTAGTGTGATTGTGATGTGGTGGCACTGTGCTGTAGTAGCTTTTTTGGGGCACTGTGCTATAGTAGCTTTCAAATTTCATTGTATTTGTAGAATTCTATTCTATTCTATTTGGAAGAATCACTCCATGTTGGGTGATTGGGTTAAGGGCCTGATAAAATTGCACATAGGATTCGCCTTTTCTTTAAGGAGCTGTCTGACATACTAAATAACCTAAAGAGAAGTGAAAACCCATTTGGGACAGTGCATATTTTGAAATACTGTTTTGAGTGACTTGACATAGGGACACAAAAGAACAGAAGGGCATTTTGTCCAGTATGGTAAATTCCATACCATTGCAGAAGCAAGCGTCCTGAATATATATATATATCTATTTTTCAGATTGTGACTGCTGTGCCCCAGTGGTTTAGAATTGAAATTCTCCCTGTGGATGATGGGACTCCAAGAGTTGTCACTAATTTAGGTCTTCAGTGGCTGGAATATATGAATGGCAAGGTGAGCTTTTTACATCTGATTTGTTTCCAGTTTGAATTTGAACTCTCCCCTTTTTAACTTGCACAGAAATAGGAAGGCGAAGAGCCAGAAAAAAAAAAGCCATTTTTCATTCTATCCAACTGTGGATAATTCAGGCAGACTTTTTACTCATCTAAAGCATGAAATTGTTTTAATTATAGCTTTATCATTAACCCACAACGGTGAGATTTACACAATACACTCCATCGTAAGCCACGATTTATGTGCGAGTTGCATCAGCTCCATCCTTCAATGAAATGATTGGAGAGGAAAAATCATGCACGTTTTTTATTTCAGCCACTCGGGAGGTGTTCTGAGAACTAAAAATGGAATCAACAGGCAAAAGTAGAATAAAGTTTATTTATTATATTATGTATATATCGCCCTGTTCTCTGTGACACTAGGCCAGAGGCCTCCAAACTTGGCAACTTTAAGACTTGTGGACTTCAACTCCCAGAATTTTCCAGCCAGCTATGCTCCCAGAGAATTCTGGGAGTTGAAGTCCACAAGTCTTAAAGTTGCCAAGCTTATGATATACATGTAGCCCTCAACATACGACCATAATACCTGACAACAACTATTTTTAAAAGCACACTCCTCTCTCATACAGTTATAGAGTCTGCAGAGCCTGTGCTCTTACATCACCTCCAGTATTAGTGCAAGAGGGCAGAGATCTCGGGCAGCTTCAGGAGTCTCTGAAAATAAGTGCATTTTATTTGTACTTCATTTTTTGCAATTACTTGACATTTCTTTATATGGTACACAGCATCAACAGACTGTATTTGCCAGCAAAGTCCAGTTACCAATAAGGGAGATTATTTGTAGCTCAGGGTTGACATGAGGGGGTCCCTGGTGCTCTCAAGCTTGCTTTGTATTCTTGTAGACGTTTCATTACCCAAATTAGGGAACATCATCGGTGCTAGTTGAAGACTAGCGCTACTGATGTCACCTAGGTTGGGTAATAAAACATCTGCAGTTTCAAAACAAGCAAGCTCAGAGCACCAGGGACCCCTCAAAATCAAATTAAGCTTTTTCTGAATATTTGATGTGCAAAGCCCGAAGGTTTTGCCATCACTGCTGTGGGACAGCAACATAGCTATTCCTGGCTACCATTGACCACACACACATACACACTCACACACACAAAACAGAGATTGAGTGAAGTTCTCCAAGCAAAAGGCTGGATGGTGTATGTTTGTGAGTGTGCACCTCCTCTCGCTGCTGCCAGCTGCTGTGATGAACGGAACAGACCTTGGCTGTTTGTTACATCAGCAGTTGTGGCTAAACTAAGCAATCCATCTTAAACTGTAAGGCTAAAGTTCCTCCCCGCCCAACGTTCTCGTTTCATAGGCTGCGGGGCCGTGATGTCTTATTCCTGGCTAAGAGCGTTTGCATTCCTTAAGTGGGAAGCTCCGATGGATTAATTGCTGTGATTAATCAAAGTGGTGCTTCCATCACCAGTGAAGAGGCCGAGAAATGGAAACAGATTTAAATTGCAAAGCTGAGCAGGGTGCTCAAACACCCCGCACATTTCAACAGCGGGATGGGTGACAGATGAGAGGATGCGAGTGACTTTTAAAAACTTTTTTTTTGTGGCACAGATTGCTTTCAAAAGGTCTGAAGTCTGCCTTGGGAACCAGTGCTTCGGTATCTTATCAGAAGGTTTCGCACCAAGGACCCAGATTTAAGAGAATAGGCAATAGCCCAACACCAGAAGATCTGAAAGAGCTGAAGGGATCTGGGTGGGGGTGTTCAAGGATGACGGGGTTGTTGTAGAACAGGGGTGTCAAACTCGATTTCATTGAAGGCTGCATCAGGGTTGTGTTTCATCTTGGGGGGGGGGGGCAGGATGGGTGTGGCCCAGTGGTGGTATTCTACCTGTTTGGCCCAGTTCTACTGAGCTGGTAGCAGCAATGAGCAGAACCGGTTCTCTCCACTGCTCTGCTGTTGGGCCCACCCGCCTTTCCGGGCTCCCATACTTACCTTTATGTCCTGCTTTTGAAGCGCGGCTGCTTTGCGCGGCACAGCAGAATGCTACGCGGCAGCAGCTGAAGCGACCGGGAGACTGCAGGCTTGCAGGAGGTGAGCGGGAATGCCTCTGCACCTGCGCAAACGCCTCTGCGCAAAGGGCGTGTTTGGCACCGCCCACCAAGCCACGCCCACCGAACCGGTGGTAAAAACTTTTTGATTCCCACCACTGGTGTGGCCAGCTCAACATCACGCGTGTTGGGAGTGCCTGTTGGTGGCCCGAGTGGTCTGCCCGTGAAAACGGGCTCCCGAGCTCCGTTTTTGGCTGCAAGGGCTTCCTGCAACCCTCTGCCAGTGAAATCGCATGCTCCATTTTCGGCTGTGACAACCTCCTACAACCCTCTGCCGGCGAAAATGGAGTTCAGGAGGGCTGCCTGTGGCCCTCCCGAGCTCCATTTTTGCTGGTAGAGGCACCGCGGGCCGGTCCTTCGCTGTTTCCCCAGCGGCCCACAGGCCAGATCTAAGCACGTGGCTGGATCTGGCCCCCAGGCCTTGAGTTTGACACCCCCTGTTGTAGAACAAGGGTGATTGAGGTTCAAATCCAGCCTAGGCCAGGGAAGCTCATGAGTGGCTTTGGCCCAGTTATTCTCTCTTAGGCCAACCTACCCCACCAGATCGTTGGGAGGATATAATGATCGATGTAAGTTCAACATCTTGGAGAAAACAGTGGCACAACTTGCCTCCAGAAGTTGTGAATGCTCCAACACTGGAAATTTTAAATAAGAGATTGGACGACCGTTTGTCTGAAATGGTGTAAGGTTGTCCAAATGTTGTGGTTTACCTGCAGCAGGTGCGGACGGCTGAGGTCTCAGAGAGCGAGGACTCAGATGAGGGGCCTGCGTGTGATGTAGGGATGGGGCCAGGACCATCAGGGAGTGGAGCGCTGCCTTTGGAGATTGTGGAGGCTGGCAGCAGAGATGAAGAGGCCTCCAAGGAGCCCGTGCCCAGCGCGTGCACGTGCAGGGCTGCTCAAAGGAAAGAGTAGCTGCAACAGCACGGGCGACTCAGGAGTAAGGCTGCAAGGTAGTGGCCCCTCCCTGAGGAGATAAAAGCCGGCTGTGAAACTGCAGTTCTTTGCAGAAGGCAAAGAAGTTTTACACTCAAACCTGGTGGACATTAGGAATATCTGAGTTGGTGTTTGGAGACTCTTTGTGTTGGAATTATTGCTTAGTAACTTTATCTGGTGTTCTTGGCAGCCTTGCAAAACCTTGGCAAGGCTCTTTCTTATTGGAGCTCATTGGTTTTGAAGCAGCCTTTTACCCGTGAAAGAACGGGATTCATTAAAAAAAAAACATTAAAAGATGGTGCTGTTACCTTTGTCTCGTGTTTGCTTCCTTGGAATCAGGTTCGGGTCAGAACACCAAATGGTGTCCTGCCTGAGCAGGGGGTTGGACTTGAAGACCTCCAAGGTTCTTTCCAACTCTGTTATTATTCTATTCTATTCTGTGTATATAGAATATATAGTCTTTAAAAGGTGAAATCTTTTTCCCCCCATACCATCACTCTACTAAACAACTAATTCCCACAACATTGTCGAACTATCCAGTTGGGCTATATTCTATTATTATTCTCATCTTTCCTATTACCTATATCCTTATCTTCTTGTGACTGTAACTTTGGTGTTTGTATCTTATGGTTTATATTGTTTATTTAGTATCCTAGTATGATTTATGTTGATTGCTTACTTAGCATCCTAAGACTATCACTAAATGTTGTAGCTTATGATTCATGATGAATGTATTTTTACGATGACTATGATCGTGATTTATCACTTATTGCTTGTATGTACACTGAGACCTTATGCACCGGAGACTAATTCCTTATGTTGTTAAGTGAATCATTACAGTTCTTAAGTTAGTAATACGGTTGTTAAGTGAATCTGGTACCCCAGTGACTTCAGAAGGTCGCAAAAGGTGATCTCATGACCCCAAAACACCGCAACCGTCATAAATATGAACCAGCTGCCAAGCATTTGAATTTTGATCACGTGACCATGGGGATGCTACAATGGTCATAAGTGTAAAAAAATGGCCATAAGTCACTTTTTTCAGTGGCATTGTAACTTGAAATGGTCACTCCACACAAGCATAGTTGTTGAGTTTGCACCATAAATTCAAGTCCAGAAAATATACAGGTGACTGATTCAGCAGGATCATTAACTTCTTTATAAACATCGTAAATGAGTAAAGTTTACAATACCATTTGTAGATTCTTTCAATGTAACTTAAGCAAAAACACAAGCAGCAGCAGCAGCTAAGAGCAGATATCAGTTTCAGCAAGCAAGCAAGTTAGTTTCTCTTTCACTTTTCAGCAAAGCACACAGAGCCAAACCACAACCAGGCTGTCAGCTCCCATTGGCTGGTCTGTTGCCATGCTTACTTTGTTAACCATGTCTCTGCCAGTTAATGAATATACTCTGACACCAGCCCCCCCGCCCCCAAATGTGTTAGTAGGATTTCATTTTTAAATCTCAGGGTTTACAAACTCTTCTTCACTGGTTTCTGGTCTTCCATCCAGCCAAAAAACCTCATCACTAAGAAGGAGCTGTTGACTATGGACCCTGATACAGAAGACAACCATCTGATCTATGAAATAACAACAGGGCCCAAATATGGTTACGTGGAGAAGAAATTGCAGCCGAGAACGATGGTGACTACCTTTACACAAGGTATAAGCCAGGTTGACGTTTGCTCTTTGGTGTTGTGCCTTCTTACCGAGTGTAAGTCCTTTTCTCTTGGAGGAATGGAAGGAGATGCTGGATAAACCTGGATAAGATTTGATGCTGGATGAACCTAGAGAAGATTGAACATGACCCATGCAAAGCAGAACTCTGAATTTGACAATCAGGGAAAATGTCTATGGAAATTCTCAATCATTCTGGTCATGGTTGTCTCAAAGGTGCTTTTCAAAAAGGCAACTGGACTTTCTTGGTTTTTCCTTTGAAAGTGCTTTGCTTCTCATCCAAGGACCTTCGTCCAAAAAGATTCGGAACTAAAGAAGCTTCTTGGGTGAGAAGCGAAACATCTCCAAGGACATAAACAATCAGGGAAGACATCCAAAGATGCCATCTTGCTGTTTTGTGTTCAAGTTGGTCGTAATCACTGACTGTATTCCCACCCCACCAGTGAGCCCTGGTTTATTTAACCATAATGGCTGGACCAAGCCACAGCTGGAGGGGATCGTGTAAGCTATAACCCGGTTTACAAATTAGGATTTCTGGATTGACTCAACATGCAGAGACAGAACCTAACCTCATTATGGTTTAATAGCAATAGCACTAGCATTTAGACTTGTATACTACTTCACAGTGCTTTACAGCCCTCTCTAAGCGGTTTACAGAGTCACCTATTGCCCCCAACAATCTGGGTCCTCATTTTACCCACCTCGGAAGGATGGAAGGCTGAGTCAATCTTGAGCCTGGTGGGATTTGAACTGCCAAATTGTAGGCAGCTGGCTGCAGCAGAAGTAGCTTGCAGTACTGCACTCTAACCACCGCCCCACCACCGCTCCTAATGCTAACCATCCAATCCCATGGGATTAACTATACACCCCAAGAGAAAGTTTTAATTAAAGAGTTAATTTTTTGCCTTTTACTTCTCCTGAAACTCCCGACCCTTCAAACTGATGGAGAATGTCTAATATTCTTAGATTCAGAGAAAGGAAGAAACATTTCCCTCCCATATCAAGGTTCAGTTTCTTCTTCTCTGATCCCAACACTTGCTTTTCTATAGTGCTACAGTTCCAGTCTGGTGTCTTCTTCCTGAATTTTTTTTTCCTTTTCGGAAGTTCAATAATATCTTTTGGAATGACCAGTATTCTGAGTGTGGCCAGATAGATCCTTAGAAAATAATTAGTAATAATAATATAATTAATAATAATTAATAATATGGTTGGTTAGATTTTCCCTTTCCTACTGATGCACAAAATAAGTTTGTTTTTATGGGTTGCTTGCTTAAGTCTGCAATTTCATTGAATTCTGCAGCCCCTAAGAGCCTTATTTATTTGGTCGTCTTCAGTTGAGGTTCTATTAGGCTCTGGATGAAACGAATTGTGTTCCCCAGCCTGGATCATTTTATAAAATTTTGTATTGATAAGCTTAGATATGGTGAAATCATGTTTGAGCAACAGGGGTTGTTCCGTATCCAGAAAATAGATTAGCACGGAGGATATTATCATGATTTGCAAAGGAATGTAAAAAAAATTATCTTCAATTTCTGGATTAATTTGTTGAAGTCTTTATCTAACAGAGGACGTGAATTTGGGATTGATCCAGTATGTGCTACATGAAGAGAATGTTCAAAGGACAGAAGATAGTTTTCAGTTTCTGGTGAAGGACAGCAAACCCAGCATTGTCGCTGATAATATCTTCCATATTCAGTGGTCTGTTATCAGCTTTCAACATACGAGGTACCCCACTTACCAGCTTTTTCTTCATAACAAGGCAGAAATGTAATTATTCAGCCATTTGACGGTATTCTTACTGTTACGATGCCATAGCATAAGTGGTGGGATTCAGCCGGTTCACACCGGTTCACATGAACCAGTTGTTAAATTCTTCCCACCTCCGCTATCAAAGTTGATCCTGGGCGTTGCGCTGCAATGGAAAAATGTGCAGTGGGGCAGCTGGCGCAAAGGAAGGAGAAGGCTCCTTTCCTTCCCTCCTCCTCCTTCCCTCGTGCCAGCCGCTCCATTCCTTGTATTGCCATTGCAGCGCAGCGCCCAGGATCCACTTCGATAGCGGGTGGGGGGGGAGAATTTAACAACCGGTTCGCTCAGGGCCAGATTGGCAGTCTCAGGAGGCTCGTCGCGCATGTGCGGTGGAACTGGAAGACGGGGATGGGCCATGCCTCCCACAACAACTAACCTGACCATGGGCAAACCGTTTGTTAAATTATTTGAATCCCATCACTGCATAGCATGTTTATTGTCAGCAGCTAGCAAGTTCCTTCTTTCTTTCTTTCTTTTTTTAATAGAAAATTTTATTAAATTTTTACGCTTTTAAAAACAAATCATATATACAATTTTTGTAGTAAGTTGTGGCATTGACTTTTCCATATTCATTTACATACACACACACACACACACACACACACACACACACATATATACACACATCATTTACATTTTACATTATCTTTTATTCCTGTTATCTAACCAAACATACCATTTTTCTTCTCCTGCAATTCCATTGTAAGTTTATTCATCTCTGCATAATCCATAATTTTTTTGTAACCATATTATCTGTGGGAATACTCTCTAATTTCCAATTTTGGGCATACATTATTCTAGCTGCTGTCAATATATGTATTATATATTCAATGTCTTCCTTGTATTCACCTCTGATTATCCCTAATAAGAACATTCCAGGCTTAAGTTCTATTTTTAAACCAATTATTTATTGCAGCCAAATCCTTATTTTATTCCAAAGTTTCTTTGCTTTAGAACACGACCACCACATAGGAAAGAAGGTGCCTGATTTCTTCTTTCTTATGGACGGTTTTTTTAAAATGTACCTTATTTCAGAAAATTAATATTTTAAATAAACACGTATGAAAAATCACCTTGAAGTGAAATCCAAACTTCTGGAATATCATGTGATATAATTTGTTTTATGCTATTGCTAAGAAGGCAAAGATGGTGGAAATATCAGAATAACAGAATTGGAAGGGACCTTGGAGGTCTTCTCGCCCAAATCTCTTCTTAAGCAGGAGAGCTTGTACTATTTCAGACAAATGGATGTCCAATCTCTTCTTACAAACTTCCAGTGTTGGAGCACCCACAACTTCTGGAAACAAGCTGTTCCACTGATTAATGTTCTCTTTTCTGTCAGGAAATTCCTCCTTAGTTCTAGGTTGCTTCTCTCCTTGATTAGCTTCTGTCTGTTGCTTCTTGTCCTGCTTTTAGGAGAATAGATTTGACTCCCTCTTCTTTGTGGTAGATCCTTAGATATTGGAATACTACTATAACATTATCCTTAGTCCTTCTTTTCATTAAATTAGACAAGAAAGTGACAAGGAAACCGCAAACCTCTTATGTAGGACAAGAGAAATGCAAATGGCCCATGGATGAAGGAGTGGGCTGGACTTTCATATATTGAACAAAGCATTTCCTGTTCGTTTTTACTTCAGCTGGTATATTTGTGTGATTTGTTGATAATCTGCTCCAAGAGGCTTTATTTAACTCGCTCGGTGTATCTCAGCTTTGGCCAAGTTGAATTTGTTGCTCTTGTCTTTTAACTTTCCTTTTTTTTTTTCCTCCTGGAGTTAAATTAAATGAATTTGATTAGATTGAATTGCCCCCAATGAAGGCAGATTTCACATTTTCAATAAAAGAAGAGAAAGCAAGCACATTTAAGTTAATTAAGTTGTTATAAATTCCAAGTTAACTTCTTAATTTGCTTCTGGGAACAATAGAATAAAAGAACACATAGTAGAAGCTTCCTAATATAGGTAAAGGTAAAGATAAAGGTTCCCCTCGCACATATGTGCTAGTCCCTATTTTTCTACTTGCATTTTTACGTGCTTTCGAACTGCTAGGTTGGCAGAAGCTGGGACAAGTAATGGAAGCTCACTCCGTTAACGCAGTGCTAGGGATTCGAACCGCCGAACTGCCAACCTTTCTGATCGACAAACTTAGCGTCTTAGCTACTGAGGCACCATGTCCCTGTCTCTTAATATAAGTCTAACATAAACACTAAACTGAGGAGGACTCATTTCAATGCATTCTTTGTGATTCCACAAAGCTTGGGTTGCTCCTACTCTGTGATCTGAAGGAAACCCATTCTGTCCATCTTTCTTTTCAGCTACAACATCAGTGAAAAGGCCGGTTCCATCAGCGTGGCTGTGAAGAGGACAGGAAACCTCAAGCAATATGCTATTGTCCTGTGCCGTACAGAACAAGGAACGGCCACCTCTGGTTCAAGTTCTCAACCAGGGGAACAGGATTACCTTGAATATGCTAGCCAGGTGAGCGCAGGAAATTCATTATATAGCCCAATAGAAGACTTGAAAGACTCTCAGTTTAAGGAAGAATGGGCCAAGCTATCTCCTAGCAGGGTCAGGAAGAGATGTGGAAGCAACAACCATGACTGAAGGTCATGATGAAGATTCTGACTGTTTAGGACAGGGGAATCCAAACTTGGGCAACTTTAAGATTTGTGAACTGTTATAAGTCGAGAACTACCTGTAAAGGTAAAGGTTCCCCTCGCACATACGTGCTAGTTGTTTCTGGCTCTAGGGGCCAGTGCTCATCTCCGTTACAAAGCCGAAGAGCCAGCGCTGTCCAAAGGTGTCTCCGTGGTCATGTGGCCGGCCGAAGGCGCACGGAACGCTGTTATCTTCCCACCAAAGTGGTCCCTATTTTTCTACTTGCATTTTTTACGTGCTTTTGAACTGCTAGGTTGGCGGAATCTGGGACAAGTAACGGGAGCTCACTCATTACACAGTGCTAGGGATTCGAACCGCCGAACTGCTGATCTTTCTGATTGACTAGCTCGGAGTCTTAGCCACTGAGCCATACACGTCACCTGTATTACAAGTCTTTAAAAATGTTTCACGGTCCTGAAGTTCCTCATGAATAGTGCTGAGTCCAACTCAAATCTCTGGTGGAGATATTCATTGACGATGGTAAAGGTGGAGTATTCATTGACTTTTTTTTTTACAAAATTTGTTCCCACCTGCTGTTACTTTCCATCCCACGCAGGTGCAGTTCGATGAGTGGGAAGACTTCAAAACTTGCACCATTGTTATCCATGATGACGGCATCTTTGAGGGTATAGAAAGCTTCTCCGTTGAGCTGAGTATGCCAGCGTATGCCTTGCTGGGCAACATCACTGCGACCCAAGTCTTCATTAATGACGTAGAAGATGAGCCCACCCTGCAATTTGACAAGAAAGTCTACCACACCAGTGAGAGTGCCGGTATCCTGTCTGTCCCCATTGAAAGGAAAGGTTGGTTGACATAGAGGAACAAGTTAGCTTTTAACTCCCCCCCAATAGAATGCAGTTGCACTTAATTCAGGCTACACTTAGTCCTTGACTTACGACCCCAGTTGAGTCCAAAATTTCCACTGTGACACGAGGCAACGTTTAAGTGAGTTTTGGCCCCATTTTATGACTTACGCTTGCCGACACTGCAACTGTTTTAAATATGAATCAGTTGCCAAGCATCCAAACTTGGGTCACGTAACCGTGGTGATGCTGTGTGAAGAACGGTCACGGGTCACATTTTTCAGTGCCGTTGTAACTTGGAACGGTCGCTAAACAAATGATTGTAAGTTGAGGACTATCTGTATTAGCGGCCTTGTTCGCACGATTGAGGGCTTTCAACTGTTTATCTTGCTGAATGCACCACTGAATGTCTTTATCAAAAGTAGTCCATAATAGACATAACATAATCACCAAACGGGAAGAAGACTTTGACCTGATTGGATTAAAGCAGGTCAGGTTTCTTCATCTTTAACTCCATGAATAAAATGTGCACGATGGAATCTCCAGCTAGACTGGGAGGAGGCATGAAGAGGGGGCCTAGCTTAGAGTCCTTCTACTGCAAAAAGCGGTGCAGGATTTACTTCCCCCAGACTCTGTGAAGCCTTATCTGACGGTTCCCAAAAGAATGCAGGCAGTCTGGTGAGATTCCTGTAAATAAGCATGCAGCAATAGAGAACTAACTTTGATCTACTCACCGGGTAGGCTTGGTAAGTGCCTGACAAATGTGATTTTTAAAGGAATATTAGCAGTTTCTCTCCTCTTCATGTGGGACGCTGCACTTGTAGCAGAGGTGTGTGAACAGCTGTGGTTATTTTTTAATATTGCCATCCTTTTTTCTTTTCTGTTTTGCATGGAATTCTCCCTTTAAAAGGAACTTCAATACTCAGCAGGAGAATGCCATAACTTTGCATAAATTTCCAAGCTTTGTTTTCTTCTTCTCTGGTGAAAGAGATCCAGCATTGCAGAGGCAATTAAGTTTGAAATGTCTATTTGTAGGAAGAAAGAAAAATTGCTATACCCTGTAAAAAAACAAGGAAGGAAGAAATTGGATTGTGTTGAAGAATGTAGGAAGGACTCAGATAAATATGAAAAGGTTGACAACTATTGCTTGAGTTCCAGGTTATTGTTCTTTGGTTCACTGCTTTTCAAACAGTGCCCTTCGGTTTTCTTAAGAGCTTATTGGAGCTTATCTCTGTGAAAAGACAGTATTTCTTAAAAAACACCGGAGTATCGTCGGAGTACTGCGACGTGTTCATGCGACGTGACTCAAAGGCATAATAGGGCTCATCCAGCATGGCATGGCATGTATGTACATCATGACCATACTCAGAACTTTTTTAGTGTTGCAAGAAAAGTCATTGGTGGTTCAGTTCAGAAGATGTAAACAAAATGCAAACAAATGTCAAATTAGAATTTAAGTGGGCCATTAGATTTCTCAGCAGGATGTTCAGGGTTATATAATACTTGTAAGGAATCCACTAAAAGAATGAGCAATTTAGGAAAGGCTAACAGTAAAAATGTCAGACCAGACACAGGTTGTCCTTGTTTTATGACCACAATGGAGTCTGCCCATTACAGGTAGTCCTCAACTTACGATCATAATTAACCCAAAATTTAGGTTGCTAAGCGAAAAATAGATCAAGTGAGTTTTGCCCCATTTTATGGCTGGGTTTTTGCTGCATTTGTTAAGTGAATGACTACAGTTGTTAAGTCAGTAACACGGTTGTTAAGTGAATCTTTGCTCGTCAGAAGGTCGCAAAAGGGGATCACATGACCCCAGGACTCTGCAACCGTCATAAATATGAGTCAGTTGCCAAGTGCCTGAATTTTGGTCACATGACAATGGGGGCGCTGCAACGGTCAGAAGTCATTTTCTTCAGTGCTGTTGTAACTTTGAATAGTCACTAAAGGAACTGTTGTAAGTTGAGGACTACCTGTATTATATCAAACCAAGATAAATAGCAATACGCATATCAAAAGTAGCAAGAAAATTCATTAAAAACTGATTTCAGGCCAAATTATCTGCTTCCCACCAACATACCCATGTGTTGTGGCCCACCAGCTGCCCGCTCTGCTTGGACAATGAGGAGGTTGGGAAGGAACTTGGGCCAGTCCTGGAGTCTGGGGAAGGCTCTGATGGGTGCTCTGCGTCCAAAGCAGAGATAGGCCAGGGACATCCGACATTTCCCAGTTGCCTATGGAGTCGGAGATACTGGGGAAGAAGAATAGCTGGAGCCTGTTCCAGATGCGTGTATGTGCAGAGCTGTCAGGAGAGGAGAACAATTAAGGAACAGGGGCCAACTCAGAAAGAAAGGCACATGTGGATGCTGAATGGCCCCTCCCTGGGGAATAAATAGAAGCAAAAGGGGAATGGTGGTTTCAGGAGACAATTAGTTTGCTTATTATTATGAAGATTTGCTTATTCTGTCCTTGGAGACTCCTTGCCAGTAATTAATTTACAGCTTTGTCAACTGGAAGCTCTTGGCCTGGCAATTATCCAAGGACTGATAAGGTCTGTTCTTGCACTTAACCCTTGGAAGGATTATTGCTGGGATTTTTCTGTGTATGAATGCCATGAATTCACAGCAGCTAAATAAAGAGGGCTTTTTTGGGACAAGAAGTCTTGTTTTTTGGTTCTGCTAAGCCTGGGTCAGAACACCATGATCCAGATAAAATAACTATCCCGTTCAAGATCAAAACCTGACATTTTAGCTAAAGAATCCTTGCAAGAAGTATGTTTGTTGGAGGAGTTTTGAATTCCAGAAAATAATCTTTTTTTCTCTGCAATATGTATTGTAGGGGATTCTAGCAGCCTCATCTCTGCCATATGCTACACCATCTCTCAAAGTGCCCAAGGCAGCAGCATGTATGCCCTGGAGTCCGGCTCAGACTTTAAATCCCGGGGAATGTCCAACGAGAATCGGGTCGTCTTGGGGCCTGGCGTCACAACGGCAACTTGTGATGTGAAGCTAATTGACGACAGCGAGTATGAAGAGGAGGAAGAATTTGAAATTGCTCTGACCGACCCATCCGAGAACGCTCGGCTCGGGAGCATCACTTCCGTTAAAGTTACGATCGGCGGTCCCAATGACGCTTCGACTGTATCCCTCGGAAGTGCGGCTTTTAGCGTTAGTGAGGAAGCAGGTATAACGATGGGAATTATTTCTCTCTTGCCATGTGCTGTGTTATTATCCCGTTTACATTTAACGCACAAAATAGGCATCCACAGAGCCCTTGGCTTACAACGGCATGATTTACTTAACAGCTCCGGGGTTTCGCTTCAGAACAGTGGCCAAAAGGTCGTAAAATGGAGCAAAACAGTAGGAGTGCTAGTGAGGATGCAGATATTATTATGGGAATTATTTCTCTCCTGCCGTGTGCTGTATTATTATCCCCTTTACATTTAACGCACAAAGTAGGCATAGATGAAGTCCTCGGCTTACAACCATTTGTTCAGTGACCATTCAAAGTTGGAACGCCACTGAAAAAAAGTGACACAACCAGTTTTCACACTTATTTATGACCAGATAGATGAGAGAGGGAGGGAGGGAGAAAGAGAGAGAGAGAGAAACCCCCACCCAAAAAAATATAAAAACGGATTTGACAGTACCTTTTCCAACTAATGAAAAGGCTTTTTCATAAGATCAATTAGGGGGAAAGGTACTAGCAGCCTTCTGGTCTTTTCCCCCACCTCTCTCCTGCTGCAACCGAGCCAACAACTGGGGTGGGGGCCCCACCACAGAGACACCCCCCCCCCCAGACCCAGGGCTGAAAGGGCAGCCTTAGACCGATGGAGCAGATAGAAAGAGGCGAAGGACTCCCACAGAAAAGCCCTCCTCCCACTGGCCTCCTTTTTCTCTGCACCTGCTGCTGTGGGCAGGGGGGCTCTGGGTTGGAGGTCTGGACAAGGTCGGCTGAGCAGAGGGAAAAGATGGCAGAAGGAAGGAAGGAGAAACGGGAGGGGAGGAAGGAAGGAGGGAGAGGAGAAAAGAAAAGAAGGGGGCGGGAGAGAGAGAGAGAGAGAGAGAGATCATCAGAACTTTAAATTGTAGGTTCATTGGAACTATCCCTAAGTGACTGGTCATAAATCAAGGACTATCTGTATTACCTTTCGGGTGATCCATCTGACAACTATTGCATCTTACAAGAAAGACCAGTGAATTCCGTGCCCAGAAATATCCTTTTCTGTATTTGCAGCTCAACGAAGGAGTCTCTATTTATTTATCCCATTTTTTTTTGAACAAATTTTATTAATTTTTAAAGACATACAAAACATAAAACATAAGAACATAAAACCTCTTTTCTGAAAGTTATTTGTAAATTTTAAGCAAATAAAACATTTTATACATCATTAACACATCTCCTTATAAACACATAGATATCCTTTCATATTTATCCCATTTTTACACCCTCCATCTCCCCTATGTGACTCCGGGCGGTTTACAAACAGTTTATACAATTTTGGTTCCTTTCCATAACAATGTTCACTTCAGCATCGTTTTCGTTAAAGCATGTTAGACGTGAGGGCTGCCATGTCCTTTGGAAATGGGGGTACACGCAGCGGTAATCTTCTCTGTTTCCATTTGAAATTAATTGCTTTTAAATCCTCCCTGCTAGGGATTATCGAAATCCCAATTATCAGGCATGGGCCTGATCTCTCCATTCCAACCTCGGTCTGGTGCGCCACTCGGACATCAGAGCCGCCATCTGCTACTCCGGGATTTGATTATATTCCCAGCTCCAAGAAGGTTGAATTTCATCCAGGCAGAACCGAGGAGGTACGGCTATATACACATATATATATTTTTTTCAAATCGTAATGGGTGGATTCGTTTTCAGAGCCCATCATATAAAAATTCTCCAGAATGGCGTGTTCCTACATTAAAAAATTTTTCACGAGCCTAAATCACGTGGCAAAATCCTGGAAGAATTTAGGACTGTCGAACGCACCGTAGTCCTCTCTGCTTTATCAAGCATCCTGAAATCTGTTTTGATGTACTCTGATACGATTCCAAATTATTCTGGTAAAACCTTGCTTTGGGAAAGGAAATGGCAACCATCAGCCAAGAGGTGTTGGGAGCTATCCAAGAGGATGACAGTGAGATGGACTTCTTCTTTCACATCCCCTTCCTCCAATTAACCCCCCTCTCGAGACCCATCAGCTCAGTGTTATTATGTAGATCAGAATTAAAAAAAAAAACTAAGTGCCAAATGCAGAGGCATCTCATTAGGAAATGCATGCAAATAGATGTTGCTATCCATTTCATCGGGTGGGCGTGGCCATGGTGGCCTAATTGGTCCCCTGCACCACGGTGGGAGGGGGTGGGGGGTTGCCCTCTCTGGCAGTGGTGGGATTCAAAAAAATTTACTACCGGTTCTGGGGGTATGGCTTGGTGGGTGTGGCAGGGGAAGGATACTGTAAAATCTCCATTCCCTCCTCACTCCTGGGAGAAGATACTGCAAAATCTCCCCACTCCATGGGAAGGATATACTGCAAAATCCCCCTTCCCTCCCCACCCCACTAACCTGCTTTCCAGCTCCGTTCTCCTGTGCAGGGCGACCAAAGTAGACCCAGCCGATCAGCTGGGACTCGGGAGGCGGAGAAGAGATGGGGCGGGGCCAGTCAGAGGTGGGATTTGCCAGTTCTCCAAACTACTCAAAATGTCCACGACCGGTTCTCCAGAACTGGTCAAAACCTGCTGAATTCACCACCTCTGCTCCCCGGGCTCCAGAGGCTTTCTGGAAGCTGGAAATGGGCTCATTTCTGGCCTTCCCAAACTTCTCTGGGAGGCCTGTTTTTCACCCTCCCTGAGCCTTGCACTTACCTGCAAACACAGGTAAGTGGGGACTCCTGGGAGGGGAGGGGTGGGCGGGGCCAGCCAGGAGTGGGATTTGGGGGGTTCTTTGAACTGCTCAGAATCTTAGCTAGGGGCTCTCCCGAACCCCTGAGAACCCCCAGCAGCCCCACCCCTGCATTTCATGCAGTGTTTTTCAATCTTGGCAACTCCCTTGCGCTCCCCCCCCCACCTCCCACGCATGCGTGGAAGAGATTCGAAAATCAGCTAGCCGGCGAGAGGCGCGCTCGCATACGCGGTGGAGCTGAGCTGCGGCAATGGCTCGCGTGTGCCCGCAGAGAGGACTCTGCGGTGTCACCTGTGGCACACGTGCCATAAGTTCGCCATCCCGGGACTAGGGGTTAATCCTGACTTAATTATGGAGAGGCAAATGGGTGTAGTGGTTAAGATGACAGGTTGAAAGTAGCCATCCTGAGTTCTAATCCTCCCTTAGACACGGAAGCAGGGTAGATGACTCGATCGGTAGAACCCACCTCACAGGGCTGTTGTTTTGCAGAAATAGAAGAAGGAAGTGTTACATACAGAACAAAAACCAGACTATATAAATCGAACAAATGTCGTACGTATGTTTGTAGAACGGGCTGTTTCATTTCTCTTATTCCCCTGTTAGTACTGCACCTTGACGATTCTGGACGACGCCCAGTCGCCCGTGATTGAAGGAGCGGAGACCTTCGTGGTCTATCTGAGTTCCCCTCAAGGAGCAGAGCTGGCCAAACCTTTCCAAGCAGTGGTGGCCATTAATGACACCTTCCAGGATGGTAAGTAGATGAGCAAAGCCCAAACTAATGCCAGCGGAAACACTCAGCCGTACCTGGTTTCTAGGCTTAATTTGAGAAGTCAGTTTACACTCAAGAGTTAGGTAAATCTGAACACCACCGTATGGTTTCTGCAGTGATGGGATTCAAAAATTTTACTACCAGTTCTTGGTGGGCATGGTGTGGCTTGGTGGGCGTGTCAGGGGAAGGATACTGTAAAATCCCCATTCCCTCCCCAACCCACTAACCTGCTTCCCAGCTCCGTTCTCCTGTGCAGGGCAACCAAAGAAGACCCAGCCAATCAGCTGGGACTCGGGAGACAGAGATGGGGGTGGAGCCAATCAGAGGTGGTATTTCCTGGTTCTCCAGACTACTCAAAGTTTCTGCTACTGGTTCTCCAGAACTGGTCAGAACCTGCTAAATACCACCTCTGAGTTTCTGAAGACGGCGTGATCCTACTGGGTCTGAAATCACAATTTATTAATCATGGGCAAAGTTGGTGTTATTCTATTCTATTCGTCCTTAAGTCAGGTGCTTTCTTTGATTGCAACCGTGCCCAGAAGAAGGCCGTGCATTGCTAGGAGTGCTGTTAACCTGTGGTTCTATGAGATTATCACTCAGTCGTCCTTAAGGCAACACCATGGATGTAGACTTCTGTGCATTGGACCAAGAAGGCATTTGAGCACACGTCTCCTTGACTCTAAATTGTCTTACACTGGGAATTATGGAAGTCCACAGTTGTTGTTACACCGTAACTTTTTGTTCATGCAGGCGGGAGAAAAAATGTTCTAGCACAGTTCCAGGGCTCTTTTCTTTCATAGACAAATGCTTCACATAGAAATGCCAGATTTTGCCTCTGCTTCAGATTTTGCCCCTCCTAGTGGACTTATTCTGCCCTTTCCTTCATCCTTTCCTTCATCCTTTCCTTCACCCTGTATTTGTTTTCTCGTCGGATTGCTTTTGGGTTTTTTTCTGCAAGTTATAACATCAAAGAATATCCAACACATGTTCCAGCACACTTTTCACAGCCTAAAGCCCTTCAGGAGTTGGGCTTCACCTCCCATAATGATACTTGAAATCTGGTGTTTCTGGAGGATATTTGACTTATTTTGTGTTCCTAAAAGTTATTTTTTCTTCTTCTTCTTCTTCTTCTTCTTCTTCTTCTTCTTCTTCTTCTT